TTAAGGTATCTCTTTTGTTATGATATTGTGCTCACTAGTTTTAGTAGGGGCCTTTTTTTTAAAACTGGTAACATTGAGTTGACAAATATGTGTTCCCTTTGTGTTTTTAAACTGTAAGTGGGCTTTATCTGCGTAGTCTCAAGGAGTCATTGAAGAATTGTGAATATATCTCTTCTCTGTGTGGATTCCGGGGCCCAGTTATAGGGAAAACAAGAATAGACCCACTTCCTACACAAAAACATGTAAGAGTCGACTAATTGGGAGCTTCCTTCAGAGTCGAAGTGCATCTGCCTGAGAGGTAAGGAACCAGCAGTCTGCATACAGATGAGTCAGATCTGTAAAACAGATGCACATGCAAAACTCAGGTTCTGGAACAGGACTGCAGTCCAGAAGTGGATAAACAACCAGAACTTTCCACCAGAGTTTACAGCTGGTAAACTTAAAGAAGAAGAATTTTTCTACCATAGGTTATGTATATTATGTGTTCGCAGCATACTAGTTATAGTTTATGTCCACAAAAATGTAAAGTTTGTATTTATAAGATTATCAGGTACATTTTAGTTTTATAGAATAGTTTTCATTTGATTTTCACTGGCACAGGAACAGAGCCAGTATGGGATGACCCATTTACAGTGAAGTTGAAACCTCGACTAAGACTTGACAGAATACAGTTTTTCTTTCATGTGGACTCCCTCCTTATAGTTTTTCTCTTATCTCTAAGAAAAAAAGTTTTAAGTTTATCAGAAGAAGTGAGGAAGGACTGAGAAAAGTTTAAACAATTCACTTACGTATTGAGAACATGGTCCCTAAAGCTAATGGAAAATATCTTTCTTCGCTTGAAAATGAACTGTCGAAATAAATAAAAGAAATGCATAATAACCTAGCCACTAATGTGATTGTTAAATTAAACATTGTAGCCATAATGGCAGTTGAAAATTTAATCTGGGTATTGGTCACAGCTTGGCTGGAGTTAACAGTACATTTATAATGAACACACACAAAAAAGAAAAGGTTTGTGATTTATAGTATGAATGATATATATATATATTTATATATATATATATATATATATATATATATATATATATATATATATATATATATATATATATATATATGTATATATATGTATATATATATATATATATATATATATATATATATATATATATATATATATATATATATGCATGTGTGTATGTAGATGTAATTCTCAAGGTCGTGAATACAGTCACCTATATAGCACGCACGATCAGTTGCACCAGATTCTTTTTTGAAATCAGACATCAAAAGACAGAACAATGTCTATAGAAGAAAAAAGAAAAGTAAAGGTGAAATAGTCCGAAGATGTGCAAAGCAAAATATTTTATTTTGTGGGCCAGTTGTTTTTCTCTGAGTTATTGTAATGATGTGCAGGTAATGTGCTGGACACTAGCCAGGAACATTTCTCCAAGCGTCGCGATTTGACCAACCTGAAAGCCACCTTTGACAGTGTCATTCAGTCTCACTACCAGTCAGCCCACTCTCATGTACAGTTCCGGCTGGTGCCCTGTCGCAACGTCTGTAAAGAAGCACTGGCACTTCTATCCAGGTAGGGTTGGGTTCACTGATAAATCATCATCATCATTATGTGCCATCATCAGATGGCATAAGCTTTTATATTTCTACACAGGCACTAAGCTTAACTTGCTGGGTGTTACTGTATAGCCCATTGTGACCTCTAAGACTGCTGATCCTGGAGGTCTATGAAAGCAAACTGACTCATGCCTCTGTACAGTCTAGAAGAATAACGATTGGTGGCATAGTTGTTATGCCTTTACCTAGCTCCCTTGGCATAATCACAGTCAATTTAATAATCATCATGTGCCCTGCTAACTGGCGTAGGCACTCATGCATCTCCACAAATCATGATCCCTAATTGAGTGGAAACAAGTAAATAATAAAAGACAGATTTTATTTAAAGTGTGTGATACCTGCCTTGACAGCTCTAAATTTGATCATTTATCACTATTAAGACTAATTCTATCATTCCTCCTCTACCTTCTGTGGCACCGCCACATTCTGGCTGTCCTGACCATCCAGTTGAATACTAGACCGATGACTCCTTTTAGTTTGCACATAATCTATATTATGAAAGATATACAACCAAACAGAAAAGTGGATCAGTGAGCTCCACAATCTAACAAACAGAAAACTGAAAGTGAATGATGCAGCTCCAGAGCCTTCATCAGCACATTACATAGATCAACTTCACTTATACACAAACTCATTATAGGACAGCTGTCTCTGATTAATACAGTCTTTCGATTTGGGAGCCCACAGATAAGGTCACTGATGTCGTTTACAAGACCAACCTCCAGTTTTTGAACGTTCTGATATTTATAAATTATAATACATTATCCTGTATTACACGAGAACAGCAGGCAAGAGGCTGATCAAGAAAAATGTGGGCGAGATGAGGAAAAAAAAAGATGCTGCAGAAACACAATATGACAAGCTAAGCAACTAGCAAAAGAGAGGAAAATATATCTAACTCATCTATGTGACCCATTATGACATAAGCTATTGGAGATCATCCTCATTATGTAGCATGCCCTATACAAAACGCTGCTGTCATCACGGTCTGCCAGAAAGAAACTCGGTCTCTTTCCAGCTCTCCCGCCTTATGTACTTTTATACTCAAGGAGTCACTTATATCCTGTGCCCATCTTCGTGTTGGTCGACCCCTGCCCTTCTTTCCTGGTACCATGCCTTCTGCTATAGGCATATATAGCTAAGGACAGAAGACACAAATATCTTTTTTCACTATTAAAAAGTATTAGGACCATGGCAGAGCTGTGTTTTTAAACACAAACTCCATGAATTTTTTTTCAGCTTTTCAGTCCTTTGGAATTCATGTTACTAAATGTTTATGCAGCCTGTCATTGGTTTATGTAGCTTGTCCTTATACAAGAGTCTCAGTGGCACTAAATATATAAACTCAATCAGAAACTATTAATATATTGTGACCTGGGGTTATTGAAGCCTGTCTTTATACATTTTGTTATGCACTTTGTCATTGGTTAACTGTAGCCTGTCTTTATACATACATTTATGCACTCTGTCCCTAGTTAATGGTAGCCTGTCTTTATACATATATTTATGCACTCTGTCACTAGTTAGCCTGTCTTTATACATACATTTATGCACTCTGTCATTGGTTAACTGTAGCCTGTCTTTATACATACATTTATGCACTCTGTCACTGGTTAACTGTAGCCTGTCTTTATACATACATTTATGCACTCTGTCACTTGTTAATGGTAGCCTGTCTTTATACATACACATTGGTTAACTGTAGCCTGTCTTTATACATACATTTATGCACTCTGTCATTGGTTAACTGTAACTTGTCTTTATACATACATTTATGCACTCTGTCATTGGTTAACTGTAGCCTGTCTTTATACATACATTTATGCACTCTGTCACTGGTTAACTGTAGCCTGTCTTTATACATACATTTATGCACTCTGTCATTGGTTAACTGTAGCCTGTCTTTATACATACATTTATGCACTGTGTCACTGGTTAACTGTAGCCTGTCTTTATACATACATTTATGCACTGTGTCACTGAGTAATGGTAGCCTGTCTTTATACATACATTTATGCACTCTGTCACTGGTTAACTGTAGCCTGTCTTTATAAATTTGGTTATGCACTGTGTCCTTAATTTATTGCAACTTGTCTTTATACATACATTAATGCACTCTGTCATTAATTTATTGCAACCTGTCTTTAAACATACATTAATACACTCTGTCATTAATTTATTGCAACCTGTCTTTAAACATACATTAATGCACTCTGTCATTAATTTATTGCAACCTGTCTTTAAACATACATTAATGCACTCTGTCATTAATTTATTGCAACCTGTCTTTAAACATACATTAATGCACTCTGTCATTAATTTATTGCAACCTGTCTTTAAACATACATTAATGCACTTTGTCATTAATTTATTGCAACCTGTCTTTATACTTACATAAATGCACTCTGTCACTGGTTAATAGTAGCCTGTCTTTATACATACATTTATGCACTCTGTCATTGGTTAATGGTAGCCTGTCTTTATACATACATTTATGCACTCTGTCATTGGTTAATGGTAGCCTGTCTTTATACATACATTTATGCACTCTGTCACTGGGTAATAGTAGCCTGTCTTTATACATACACTAGCTGTACCCGGCCACGCGTTGCTGTGGCATAGTTTGGCTAAATAGAAATAAAAGAAAATAGAAATCGCACGTGTCTAATACAATCATTGTCTGCTCAGATAAGAGATAGTCTTTGATCCCCGCCCCCCCCCCCCACCCCCACCCCCACCCCCTCACCACCACAACTAAATCCACCTACTACTCTCTCCCTCATCAAAGGTTTTTGGAAAAGAAAGACAATGGAAATCGCTCGTGTCTGATATAGTTAATGTCGCAATCATTTTCTGCACAGATATAGAGATAGTCTGGTTTTCCAACTTTAGAACACGCACCTTATAATTGTGTCTTTATATTATTGGTCGTTTAAATGGTGTTATTAGCACAGTAACAAAAACGGTTATTTGGTTATCACATGCTAAAGCTGTTTGTATTTTTATAGGAGACGGAAGTAAAGCTACAACTGTACTTGTAAATAACAAAGTAAGTCGTAAAAAATAGAAAAGCGGAGGTAGCATTAGTAAAATATAAACAAATTAGGTAATGAGAACTTGAAAATCACGTGTAAAGCTCTTTAAGTTCTCTTAAATTTAAGTCATAACCCCCTCCCCTCCCCTCTTCCACCGACTACTGCTCTCTCCCTCTTTGAAGGATTTGAAAATCATTACCTGGCGATATTTTTGTTGTTGCTGTAACTGACTTTGACATCCCTGTCCATCCGGACTAAAACTCTGTCACTGGGTAATGGTAGCCTGTCTTTATACATGCATTTATGCACTCTGTCATTGGTTTATTGCAGCTTGTCTTTATACAACAGCCTCAGTGGGGGTGGCAGTACAGATATGAACTTAATCAGGAACCAGAACTTCATACCTCTGGGAGCCATTTCACTGTTTGCCACCAGCAGTGCCGAATACCAGGACCACATCAATGCCATGGTGGTGTCTGCCAACCAGGTGTACCATGACTTCTTGAAGTCTGACAACGGTAAAGGCTTCACTGGACAGGTAAATATTTCAGCTTTGTACAAGATGCATTCATTATGATTTTTATCTTAGTCTTAGCCAATGTTTAAACATCACTACAATCGGGTTTCCATTCCTGTGTCAGTAAAAAAAATCAAATGAAATGTTCCTCACTGTCCCATATAAAAATACTGGTGAACAAATAATAAGTCCCGAAACAATCCAGAAATATGCGCACGCAGTAAATTTATATGGCAGTTGCTATAGATGCCAAAGCCAACAGTCACCACCAGAAATACATTTTGTCATTGATTCATTGGGTTGCAGTCAGTTAGTGCATTTGGCTGTTATCTGAAATATTAGTGGGTCTAGCTCATCTAGGGATTATGCTATTTTTGTTAGGCTCTGTGGCTTAAAGATTAACTGGAGCGCTTCACAACCCTTGATGTATCAGGGTTTGATTTTTCTTGTGGATAATTAAGGGAGAAAATATTGTCATGCTTTTTTTGTTAATGCTGGTACAAGAGTCGCACTGTGGAATAAATTGGGCCTCATCATGTTATATTCAAACGATAGCAAAAAAAATATAATGTATCAGACTTCCCGGGAAATGGGACAAATTGTTTTTTCATAGATACCAAATGTATTAACCAATTAAAAAATATGTTAAATATAGTAAGAAAAAGAGTGTTAAAGTACTATGAAGAACATGTACTTTTGTATGCATGTGAAACATGAACACTAAGCAGACAAGCTGGAAAAACATCTATCTGCAGCAACAGTTGGTTTTTCTGAGAAGAAACCAAAGAATTTTCCATTTCACTGGTGAGACAGCAAAGTGATTTTTATCAGAAATATGTCAGCTACGTGATTTTTATGTACTTGAAAAATTGTTGATTTATGTAATTGCTGATGAAGGCTCTGTAGCTGCAAGGTTCACTTATCATTTCTGTTTGTGATATTATGAAGCCTGCTAATTCTACTTTCATTTGCTTCATTTCTTTAAAAGAATATTATTGACTGATGGTGAAACAAATCAGGTGGTCTTGGAAAAGAGATGGAAAACAGAAACTGATGAGAGAGATTACACACAGGCAGCCTAGATATTTTGTAAATCATATGAGAGGCAATAAAAAAAAAATGTGGTCACAACTGGCAATCTAAATAATAATAACTTACAAAATAAACATGAGGAAGACAGAAAACACCTGGACAGCATAGCCACATGACATGGGTAGGACAGGAACATAGATTTGATCAGTAATACTGGTGATCATAAAAGATGGCCACCCCTGACCACCAATGCTTATCAGCAATGGCAGTGATGGTTGTGATGATCAGAAACACTTCATACAGTACATGGAAAACATATGTTAGAAGATATACTGCTGAGGTTTTAATGAAGCTGTTGCAGCAAATTTTTAGCATGTTAAATTATTATAGGGATTTGAGGAAATATTCAGATATACATTTTTTAAGTGAGGGTTCCTCGACTCCCATTTTGGGGAGTAGAAAAAAAAAGAATAGACCCACTGTCTCTAGAAGAAATGATGTAAGAGGTGATTAATTTAGTTAGTCAGTTACTTAATTAGTGAGTCAGTCAGTCAGTTAGTTAGTTAGTAAGTCAGCTAGTTAGTTAGTCAGTCAGTCAGTCAGTCAGTCAGTCAGTCAGTCAGTCAGTCAGTCAGTCAGTCAGTCAGTTAGTTAGTTAGTTAGTTAGTTAGTTGGTTAGTTAGTTAGTTAGCTAGTTAGTTAGCTAGTTAGTTAGCTAGTTAGTTAGCTAGTTAGCTAGTTAGTTAGTTAGTTAGTTAGCTAGTTAGTTAGTTAGTTAGTTAGCTAGTTAGTTAGCTAGTTAGTTAGTTAGTTAGTTAGTTAGTTAGCTAGTTAGTTAGTTAGTTAGTTAGTTAGTTAGTTAGTTAGTTAGTTAGTTAGTTAGTTAGTTAGTTAGTTAGCTAGTTAGTTAGTTAGCTAGTTAGTTAGCCAGTTAGTTAGCCAGTTAGTTAGCTAGTTAGTAAGCCAGTTAGTTAGCTAGTTAGTTAGCTAGTTAGTTAGCCAGTTAGTTAGCTAGTTAGTTAGCCAGTTAGTTAGCTAATCGGCAGAATATTCTCCTTGCATATTGGACAAGTCCACAAGCGCTTAGATCCCATCTTCAGTATATCCCACAGCATGTGGTGACTGGTAACACCAGTTCTGTGTTTGTTTACTATTCTTCTTTGGCTACCTTAAAAAGTGTTTGTTGAAATAGGATGTCTCGATCTGAAAGGTGCAGATAAACCACAATCTAGCTGTAAAACACAACACATCATGCTAATGACCCCTCTAAGGACTTGCAGGAAAATAAAAGAAAAAGAAATTGAAGTTTATTCTGTCTTAAAAAAAATTCATTATTTTAGATTATTTTCCTTTGTTTATTAGGTCAAAAATCAGATAACATCAAACAGTTGACAATAAGATAAAAGATCAGAGTTTAAAACAAATTCAGCTCTTAATGGCATAAGAGACAGCGAGATGAAAACAAGAATGCAACAAGTCAGCAATGTCATGTATGACAAGAATGCAGAAAGCCAACAATGTCTTGTATAACAAGAATGCAGAAAGCCAACAATGTCATGTATAGCAAGAATGCAGAAAGCCAACAATGTCTTGTATAACAAGAATACAGAAATCCAACAATGTCATGTATAACAAGAATGCAGAAAGCCAACAGTGTCATGTATAACAAGAATGCAGAAAGCCTACAATGTCATGTATAACAAGAATACAGAAAGCCAACAATGTCATGTATAACAAGAATGCAGAAAGCCAACAATGTCTTGTATAACAAGAATGCAGAAAGCCAACAGTGTCATGTATAACAAGAATGCAGAAAGCCTACAATGTCATGTATAACAAGAATACAGAAAGCCTACAGTGTCATGTATAACAAGAATACAGAAATCCAACAATGTCTTGTATAACAAGAATGCAGAAAGCCTACAATGTCTTGTATAACAAGAATGCAGAAAGCCTACAATGTCATGTATAACAAGAATACAGAAAGCCTACAGTGTCATGTATAACAAGAATACAGAAATCCAACAATGTCTTGTATAACAAGAATGCAGAAAGCCTACAATGTCATGTATAACAAGAATGCAGAAAGCCTACAATGTCTTGTATAACAAGAATGCAGAAAGCCTACAATGTCATGTATAACAAGAATGCAGAAAGCCTACAATGTCATGTATAACAAGAATACAGAAAGCCAACAGTGTCATGTATAACAAGAATACAGAAATCCAACAATGTCTTGTATAACAAGAATGCAGAAAGCCTACAATGTCATGTATAACAAGAATACAGAAAGCCTACAGTGTCATGTATGACAAGAATGCAGAAAGCCAACAATGTCTTGTATAACAAGAATGCAGAAAGCCAACAATGTCATGTATAGCAAGAATGCAGAAAGCCAACAGTGTCATGTATAACAAGAATACAGCAAGCCAACAATGTCATGTATAACAAGAATACAGAAAGCCAACAATGTCTTGTTTAACAAGAATGCAGAAAGCCAACAATGTCTTGTTTAACAAGAATGCAGAAAGCCAACAATGTCATGTATAACAAGAATGCAGAAAGCCAACAATGTCATGTATAACAAGAATACAGAAAGCCAACAGTGTCATGTATAACAAGAATACAGCAAGCCAACAATGTCTTGTATAACAAGAATGCAGAAAGCCAACAATGTCATGTATTTTGTAAGTTTTAGACATCTGGTTATCTTAATGGAGACAAAAAAGACAAAGTATAAATGCAATCTACATACCAGCCTTGTGCTATCTGTGTCAGACTTGGACACTGACTAAAGACCATGAAAGAAAACTGACCACCTATGAAATGAGATGTTTGACAAAGGCCTTGAAAAAAATTAGAAGAGATCAAATGCGAAACAAAGAAATTACAAGAACTATTGGAACAACACCTATAATTAAATTTATTTCAAAACAAAAGGCCAAAATGGTTTTGCCATTTAATGAGGACGAATTCAATGATGCCAGAAAGTAGAGTATAAACCATGAAAATAGAAACACCAACAGGCAGGGAATGAGAAAGAAGAATGTAGATTGAAGAAGTCAGTGAAACTTTGAAACTCCACAACATCACAGCCTGATGAGCATGTCCTAGTTTGGATACTGATCATCTGTTAACCTGCGACGTGAAACGGCCAGTGAGACAAGGAAAGAAGAAAAAGAAAACATTTGTAATTAAACAATTGTAATAAAACCATGTTTCTTTTGATCACCCTTGTACAACATTCTGTTGTGTTAATGTGTGGTAAACATATTTGAACCTATCTTCAGGTATGCTTCCTGGCAGATGCCGTGGGCTCACTTCTTGCCTATGATGCCCTGACATCCTGCAGCTCCTCCTTCACACGAGCTGGATCTCATTATGGAAGCCATGAGAGTGTGGAGAGCAGCGCTATTGGTGCAGAGCCCAGTGCTTCTTCTCCTCTCCTGGACAACCGGGCCCGAGAGCTGAGTCTCAGCGACCCAAACTTGGTTCCAAATCCATCATCTGGTTCTCTAAGTGCACCAAAACGTCCTGAGCGCAGCAAGAGTGAGGTTGTTCCTCCGGACAGCTCTGAGGTGTACCAATCTTGCAAAGAAGATCTAACATCTATGGTGTCCTCAACATTGTCTTCAAGATATTCATCCCGGCACAATTCTGGTCATCTGTCTGCGTCAGCTGAAGGTAAAGACAAGGATATATCTAGAAGGACCAGCAGTGGGAGTCATTATGACAGTGGCATAGCTAAATTTGACTTTGATGTGACAGATTTCTTTATGTGCGGTACCCCACTAGGAATGGTTCTGGCTTACAGAAAACTGCACCGAGGAGATGATACCATCTGTAAGTATACGCATAATGTCTTCTTGTTCTTATCTGTTAAACTAACTAGCATTTATGCCCTCATTTATAGCATGAGAATAGCCTGGGCAGAAAAAAACAAAGTAACGAGATGTCTTCAAAGAAACTCACATCAGAAAGAGACAATCTTCATTCTTTGTTCATGTGATGAGAAGGAGAAAACTGGAGTACATTGTGACAGTAGGAAAGTTGGAGGGAAGAGAAGAAGGCATAAAGAGACTGAGAGAACTGATACTGGTCAGTGTGATGTCAATTCTTGACTCGACTCAACTCAACTCAACTCAGCTGGACAGTTTGACTTCATGGCACGAAGGATCACCTATATCAGAGTTAATTGAAAGTACTCAAGACAGAAGGGATGGTTGTGGATAGATATGGAATAAGAAGAAACTATCATTTTGGTACTATTTTATGCAGTAGAGGGTTAACAAATCAACTGGATAACAAACAGTGTTTAAGAAAAAAGACTGACTTTCTAAAAATCAGTTTGCTGCTAATGCCATCAGCATGTTAACTCTCTTAACTCTTTGAGTCCCAGGGGGCTTAGCATCAGTGTTGCCACTTTGGATGTTTTACATCCAGATTTAGATGTTTTTCTTGCATTCAGATGGCATTTTTTATGTTTAGATGGTAAATGTTTTTCTAGAAGTTTTCCATTTAGAGTGAATTTATCAAATCTAACCTAAGAAACAGGATGAAATTTGACCTCTTAAATGCTATCTTGAAAATAAAATTCGGCCTGATAAGATTAGGAAAAGGCTGTTCCACTTATCAGCTCCCTGATTGGGTATTAAATGAAATGGGAACAGCTAAAGCATACTAGAGTCATTTTGGATCTGAAGCTTCAACTTCATCATCCAAGCTAAGTTTATTCTGTGGATATTGTAAGGCAGACTTCAGTAAAGATGAGGACACGATTCTATAGGATAAGTCATATCTATTGCTATGTAATTTGTGACTCTTTCCAATTGGATGTTTTTTTTAAGATGTTTTCCATGCAAATTTAGATATTTTTAGATATTTTTTGACTCCATTTTGGATGTTTTTTGTCAAAGAAAAGTGGCAACACTGCTTAGCATCAGAGGCCCAAGGGGTGGTAATGCAGTTTTTTAATTTCACAAGTGTAACACTTTAAAACAGAAAATATTGAATACTAATTCAATTGCCGTGCAAAATACAGATATTATACATACAAGTGACCAGGGATTGTTGAGGAATAATTATAGAATACAGCTACAACAAATAATTGTATTAGTCATTAAATATTAGTAAATAAACAGATGGTATGTTTACAAAAATTAAAAAATTTCCACTTACCACCATGGCACTCAAGGAAAACTAGTTAAAATATATTGAAAATGAATCACAAATGAATATGAACCACTTAGTAATTTATAAGCAAAATATAAACTCAATCTATACATTAGATTTTGTTCTAAAAAATCTTTTGAAGCATCATAACAGAGCACCATTGTTTGGTAAAGAAAAGTGACTTTCAAAACAATAAGTATCTTCACACAAAACGAAGTTTATATAACACTCAATTTGCCTGTAATTTTGTAGCTATGTTCCTAAACAATAAGAGGAATAGCACTAGAACTAACTGACACTGAAGAAAATAATCTTTTCACTAATGTTTATTCTATTTGTGCCAGCTGACTTTGCTGTCGTTATACCTTCGCGTGAGGTACACATTAAACATATCCCTCATCAAATTTTGACTCTATAAATGACTGAAACACGTCTGATTCGCAACGTTATCTATCTAACTTCGGTAAATCGAATGAACACGTACTTTATTGAAATTTGAGGCTTCTAAAGCAGAAAATAATTTTGGCATGCATGTAGAATACTGCTTGGTGGCCATATTATTTTGAAACGAAACTTAGTAACTAGGCAAATATCGCAAATAAGCTATATTTTCAGTTTCAAATTACGTTTCTAATGAGCACGCCTGATATCAGACACAAACAACTCGAAAGGAAGTTGAAATTGAGTGTTCCCCATTTTATAACCGGTTGGTGGTAGATTAAAAATCTCACTTGTCACGCGTCGATTGGGCCTCGCGGTTGAGTGCACTCATTTTTTAACGAATTAGTACTGAGACAGATCTCAGTAAGGTGTAATTGACCTACCCTCTAACAAACATTACCACATCGTGAACATCTGTCTGAAGAGGGGCGGCGACCTGCGAGGCTTAAAAAAAAAAAGGGCAGCTGAACAGCACAGGCAGGCTAGAAGGATCCATATAACAGCCCTTTATCTTCAGACACTGTTCCATACCCTCACTGTCCTGGATCCTTCCTTTTGTGCTTATAAGTCACCTCCGGACTCACAAACTGAACTATAGTTTTATGACGGATGAAAGAAAGAGTGGTCCTCATCCCTTGTGATGGACAAACAATAACAGACAGTAGTGTGTTCCTCATGTAAACATACAGTGTTACTTCTCATGTTTCAGTGTTCAGGCCAGCTTGTCATCAAGTGTACAACTTGTTTCATTCAAATGATCCAACGGCTGTACGGCTGGAACCTTTACTGCATGAGGGCTTCTCTTATGTTGCTCCTGTCAGTGTTTGTAGATATTCAAAGTTCCCCCTGGGAGATGGAGAACCAGTTCATGTTGGTAAGTAGGAAACTGAGTGCAATATCTGTCTGTTTTGTATCCTTTTCTATCTTATATTAATGTTTTTTGCTTTTCAAGGCTTACTGGAAACATGGAACAGTGTAAAACTTTAAAATATTTGCAGCTTAGGTAATAGTAAGGTAGGTAATGAGATTAACCTACATGGATATGCATATTTGAGATGCAGAGGGGAGAGAAAAAATGGGTTGGATGGGGGGGGAACAGTGGGGGTAGTGACATACACACATACTGAGTATCCATACTTATTAGGAAAGTAAACAGAAATTACAGAGGAATGGGTGGCTGAATGATTCAAATGTTGGACCCACAAGCAGAAAACCCTGGGTTCGATTCCTTGTTAAGGTTGGGAGATTTTATTTCCTGTTGGAGGCGAAAATAAAATCCTAACCTGCACAGTCGGTGGTAACAACAATTGCCATGTGACCTTAAATCCTCAGGATTACAAACCCTCTGCCTGCACCACAGAAGTGGTAAATACAGATATTTGAAGAAATGGTACAGGTGATTTCAAAAATATAATGCAGTGTAGGAAATCTCTTGGATTGCCACCATTATCTTCTAATTCTGAACAGTATTTCTCCCCCTTGTGAACATCTGTGGAGAAATCTTCTATAGTTGAGTGTTATCACTGTGGTTTAGAAAGAACAGTACTGGAACATGTGGTTTCTGAAAGGTAATGCTAGAGCTGGTCAAGATGACTATGGAAAAAAAGACTTAAAAAAAAAACCTTAACTGTGACAGTGGGGGCGATGGTAGAAGTGACAGCTTCCTGTCCTGAAAGCTAAGGTATTTTGACCATGTTGATCATGGTGGTCTTGAGAAAACTGTGATGAAGGTTACACAGACCTCCATGAATGGGGATTCTTCTTCTTCTGCGTTCGACATCAGTCATGCTAGACATTGAGTCCCATCTGGGTCACAAATAGGATTGTGCGTTTAAGGTCGCCACAGGTCCCCCATAGCTTCTCTTTCAATGTGGCTCCCTTGGGCCAGATCCACAGTCTTTGCTGGGAGAGGTTAGGGCAGTACTGTAGTATGTGCCCAGGGGTCTGTCGTTCTGCTCCACAATCACAGGCAGCAGATTCTTTTATGCCTATCCTGTACAGGTGTGCTCGAAGACCACATGAATGGGGATGCAAGACATTGAAGATGCACTGGCTATGAAATCACACGGGGCTGCAGAATTAGCTAGAGAAAGAGACTTTCAGGCATGCCTTGATAAGAGCAAAGTTCTGTAAAAGGAGCTGCTGATTGATGGTGATGATGGATGACATGGTATTCTCGAACAGACTTTGGTCTCAGTCTACTTCTTCTTCTGCTGTGTTCTCCCTAAAAGTCCTCAAACAGACTTCGGTCTCATTCTACTTCTTCTTCTTCTTCTTCTTCTTTTTCTGCTGTGTTCTCCCTTAAAATCCTCGAACAGACTTCGGTCTCATTCTTCTTCTTCTTCTTCTTCTTCTTCTTCTTCTTCTTCTTCTTCTTCTTCTTCTGTGTTCTCCCTTTAAGTCCTTGAACAGACTTCAGTGTGATGATGGTTGGTATAAATGTGAATGCCTGTATTTGTGTTCAGACATTAAAATGTTTAGTAGATATTCTGTGAGATGATGATTGGTGTAAAAGCGAATACTTACATTTGTGTTCAGACATTGAAAAGTTCAATAGATATTCTGTGCGATGATGGTTGGTATATATGTGAGTGCATGTATTTGTGTCTCACCTAAAATGTTATATTATATCAAGTATTACTGCTGTTCTGATCACAGTCGAAACGATTCAAAAACACCTGAAGCTTTTCACATCAGACTCAAAAGAACACAGAAGCTCAACATCGGAGAATCCCCGTCTGCTGCAGCGACAGAATAGCCTGTCCAGCATGACCAGCACATCAAGTGGCTTAGGGGAAAACACAGTGTCCAGTATAACCAGTGGTAAGTCTGGGGTGTTAGACTGAGCTGGAGAGAGCAACTGAGAGTTTTACAGTGTCCAGTATAACCAGTGGTAAGTCTGGGGTGTTAGACTGAGCTGGAGAGAGCAACTGAGAGTTTTACAGTGGTATCAAATTCCGTGACAGTGGTTGACAGTAGCTATGGTTAATCACATGAAGGGTCACTGCCAAAAAGGAAAGCAGTGTTTTTTATTTGAATCTGCTTTTATTTATTGGAGTCTGCAGGTTTCAGTGCAGTCTGATTATATTTTTATCCGGTTTTCTCAGTATGTGCCCTGTCCAAATGCAATGTCATAACTGGTATCTGCTTAGTTCTCTGGCAAAGGTGGAGTTTAGTTATTAGTGATTGTGGTGCCATTTCATACGTCTATTCTGCACAGGCAGTAGTTGATGAGAAAAACCTGCCTACACTGGACTACATGTTACTCTGTAGTCATTTTGTGGTGCCCCAACAAAATAACTGCGTTATATGGCTATACGGGTGAAGCCAAGGTTCATGGCTGTTTGATTCTTATTCTTGAGATGTTTATCCTACAGACTGCAGTCCTGAAGGGAAGAAACTTTAAGAGAAAAAAAAAACTAGTTAATGAATGTCTGTGTTTATTAGTGATTGTTATATTGGTTCTTTGTGTTTCAACTACAACTACTAATTTGAAATGAGAGGTAAACATTTTAAGTTTGTTACTAGATTTCACATTTATTTACGACATACTGAACAACTTTCATCTTTTCTGTGAACAATAAGGATGTGAATCTTGATCTATTTCACAATCACATATAAAGAAAATCGACCAGCAGCTAGAGCCTACTGCATGAGAACAGCAATCTACAAGTCAAGAGGCTGACTAAGAACCAAGAAAGACATGGGTGGGGGGGAGTCAGAGAGACACTGCAGAAATGCAATATGACATTAACACCAGCAACACAACTAGCACAACATAGGGAACTACATCTAACTTCTCTCTGTAACACTTTACTGCATCAACTGTGGGACAAAAGAAGAAAGAAAGAAGAAGAATTAAGATCATCATGACTATTGAACTTAAATATTACAGAAAAGTTTTTAGAATTCTATGGATCAAGAATAAGAAAATTGCAGGCATTTTACGTGATGTGAACATTACGGCTCATAAAGAGTTTTACAAACATAATATTTTTGTCACATCAAAGGCCATAGCAGCTTTAAAGGAAAATATATAAACAGCATGACACCTGGGAAAAAAGAGGCCTGGGTCAGCGAACACAAAGGCCACTTTTATTAAATGAATTCACAGTTCACATTGTCACACAAGGCGCTCAAGTCATTAGCTGGGCATCAGAACAGTTTAACTTCTAGTACATAATTTGGGAAATTATGACAGTTAACCGTGGTCAGGAGCAAATAACTCTTCAAGGCTTCAACGGCCAGCTGGCTTAACCACCCTATTGGACAGGAAGTTGTGTTTGTAGATCTTCATGAGACTGATCTGTTTTAAATTAATTTTAACATAGGCCAGCGAATGGCATTTTGTGTGATTTCCATTGGCAGAGGAGCAATTGTGTGGTGACCTGTTCGCTTTGAAGTTTAAACTGCAGCTAATGCCCTGTGCAGGTTCTGGAGCCAAATTATAGAAAAAAACAAGAATAGACCCACTGCCTCACCTCATAGGAGTAAGCTGATTGGGGGCTTCTTTTGAAGTTAAAAAGATCATTACTGCAATACATTTGGCAATGACCCACTGGCCTCTGCAGAGCAGATTTGGCTGGTGGGTGATTGGTTGAATAACCTTGGTATAGATGGTCTTTACTCACTTACTGACTTTTATTTTAATGATAATAATGTGTTGTTCTCTCTGATACCAGTCACCAGAAACTGGTGGGGTGTGAAACGAGTGGACTATGTGTTGTACTGTCCAGAAGCTCTACATTCCTTTCCCACGAATGCCCTGCCCCACCTTTTCCACTCCAGTTTCTGGGAGTCCAGGGATGTGGTGGCATTTATTCTCAGGCAGGTCAGTAGCATTCATACATGTGTTTATACCATCTTAACTCTTAAAGTCCAAGGAGGTTTAGCATCACTGGCCCACGGGGTAGTAGTCAAGAGAGATGTAAAATTGATGCATCTTGTATTCTAGGTAGGAACGTATGAATGTATGATGCATTCCTTGGGGCTCAAAGAGTTAATATCATTTAGACAGGCCCACTCACTCAGCCTATACGAACCATCTCACACAAAATATATTCATTCCAACCTTATGCTACCAGTGACAGGAATGGTCACTCACAACAAATCAAAAAGAAAAGAAAATTGGTAACCTTGGAAATGAGATGTCTAAAAAAGGCTGCAGGAGAAGGACGTTCGGCACATGGTAGACCAAAAACAAGATGGAGAGATAACATCAGAGAAACTCTACAACAGCACAATGTGTTGTTCAAACAGTTCTTTACAACAGACCAGTAATGACAGTCATACAGTCTTTATAAAAGTCACAAAATGGCTATCATACATTCATTTAAAATCAGTTAATAACACTGTAATGTTTATACATTGATTTAAAACAGTTATACATTGATTTAAAACAGTCACTTCATGGCCTTCATACAATTATTTAAAACAGTCACTTGGTAATATTCATTTAAAACAGTAATGACATTAATACAAAATATAAATTATATGAGAAAATATACACGGAAAGAGCTATTATGAAAAGTTCATTTACGAAGGTTGTTATGGGGGCTGAGTAGTCTCGAAGTATGGTGTCCGCCTTGAGTGCTGGATGTCCCGGTTTCAATCCCTGGTGAAGGCTGGGATTTATTCACATGGACTTCTAGTAATTTCCCCTGGTTTCTGGGTAGTCAGATGGGGCACCAGTGTGTATTCTTCTTACGCACGTAAATAATCCCTTGGCAGTTAAAAATTGAAAAGAGTAGCCTAACGGCCCTGCCTGAACAAAGATTTGGAGTTTAAAATCTACCGAAAGTATTTCAGGATCCTCGCCGGTGCAACGGAGTTCATGCACTGCGCTGAGATTCATCAGACTCAGGTTTGAGTTAGAAGTATAACGGAGCACTTATGGGTTGCACCCGTGTGCCATGATGTTGATCCGTAGAATAAACATAAACATGAAGCAGAGAGAAAGGGGTAGGGAATATTTTAAACAATAATACATAAACATTAGATAAACAAAAGTTGTTGTTTTGGTTGGCTGGATTTACAGTTAAACACTTGTTTGGAGTGAGGTAGTATGTATCACATCAACCTCCTTTATTGCCTCTTATAACGTGTATGGTAGGTTACAGTGTTACTGTTTTGTTTCTTTCCTTATGGGACCTGGAACAAAATCAGTTCACAATAAATATTGCGAGCAACTATTGTATATTTTTAAACTGTTTATAATCTCTGTATCATTCTTAGCGCCATGAAGAGATTAGCAGGTCTAAATACAACATTGGGAGCCGCCGCGGTGTAGTGGCTAGACGCTCGCTTGCAGATGGGTTCAGGTCCTGACACAACCAGGCTTCCTTCAAAAATGACCTTTGCCCCCAGGTGGACCCAGCCTTGAGTGGGTACCAGGTACAGTCCTGGAAAGTAATGCTGGTTGATGTGATGTTGATCACATCACGCACCAAGTGCTGATTGGTCTGTAAAATATAGGTCTAGCCCTATATGCCAAATACACCTGAAGGCGTGGAAAAGGGTACTTTACTTTTACTTACTTTGATTAAAACCATGAATAAAACACAGTCTTCATATCCAAGCTGTAGCGTATGGAAGGGATGCAGAGTTGCTGAGAAGGGATGCAGAGGGGCTGAGAAAGGATGCAGAGGGGCTGAGAAAGGATGCAGAGGGGCTGAGAAAGGATGTGGAGGGGCTGAGAAAGGATGCAGAGGGGCTGAGAAAGGATGCAGAGGGGCTGAGAAAGGATGCAGAAGTGCTGAAAAGTAATGCAGAAGTGCTGAAAAGGAATGCAGGGGTGCGGAGAAGGAATGCAGGGGTGCGGAGAAAGAAAGCAGAGGTGCTGAGAAGGAATGCAGAGGTGCTGAGAAGGAAAGCAGAGGTGCTGAGAAGGAATGCAGAGGTGCTGAAGGACACACAGAAACCAGAAACAGTTTCCCCTACCAGTGGTCTGGCAAGTGTAAAAAGGATTGACATTTTGTGTGAAGTTGTAGTGCATTTCACTTAGAGGCAGTCGACAACAGTCAGCACACAAATTAGCCAGATCTGTAAAATGGTTGTGAACACAAATCTCAAGACTAGACACAAGGCCAAAGTCCAGAAATTGATGAACAGCCAGGACTTTAAATCAGAGTTTGCATGTCACTGGTTATGTTTGTGCCTGGGCAGCATTTAGGAGCTTATCTCTTCCAAGGAACGTATCATACTTTCATATGTTCCTACCTAGAAGCCCAATAAACGTATGATTCACCGATGTTATTACTTTCTTTACTACCCCCTGGGCCTGTGATGCTACACCCCCTAGGACTCAAAGAGTTTAGATATGAAAACATTTACTAAAACTGTTATTTATTAAAGATTTTTTTGTAAATAAAATAGCTTTTTTTAAGTGATGTGTCAAGTAAGTTTAAAAAAAAAATTCTTTAATATTTTTTTCTGGATTCTGAGGGTTCCTGCATGTGTTTAGTTTTGTTTTTGAAAATAGTTTTAGCAGCAAAGTGTAAATAGGATTGACATTTTGTGTGAAGTTGTCGTGCATTTCACTTAGAGGCAGTCGACAACAGTCAGCACACAAATTAGCCAGATCTGTAAAATGGTTGTGAACACAAATCTCAAGACTAGACACAAGGCCAAAGTCCAGAAATTGATGAACAGCCAGGACTTTAAATCAGAGTTTGCATCCAGTGAACATTAAGAAGAAGAAGAGTGAAATAAGGCACACAAAAATACAAATCATTTGACACAGAGTCTTCTATTTCTTCATCTTATTGTCCATGTCATGTGGTGTAGGTAGTCATGTCTATCCACAGCCTTCTGTCTCATTTACTTTCACTCATTTCTAACACAGATGTGCATTTACCAGAAAGTATTCCCATAGAATTTCTGAGAAGCTATAAAATACATTCTCATTATTTTTGTTGTCCTTAGGTTTTGAGGCAAAATGAGGCAGTCCTAGATTCAGGTCGAGATGCGGTTTGTGGCTCGGGAGCTAATTTCAAGATTAAGGCTCCTAGAGAGAAATGGCTGAAGAGAAGAACAACTATCAAAGTCAGGGTAAGATCTTGCACCTCTGCTTATTGTTTATCTTGTATTGAAGGAATGGAAGGGTATCAGCACACATGCTATTAGAGATCACAACATATGGAGAAGGACGATCACCGAATTGTCAGTCCAAGATGGCAAGGCACTTGATGATGATGATAACAGTTACTGTAAGGCACTTAATGGTGATAAGTGTGAGATAATATATTTTTAATAATAAAATTCTCTTTCAGAATCTGCTGCTATTTTTTGGTATATGTTTGATTGCAAGGGTGAAATAACACATGTTGATTAAAATGATGCAGTATTTTGGTATCTTTAGATCAGTTGAGATGGTGAGGGGATACTCGTTAATTTAAATAATGGATCTCTTGTAGAATTTGTTGCTGTATTTTGGTATGTTTAGTTCATTTGCGAGGATGAGATAATACATGTTGATTTAGTTAATGAATGATCTCTTGCAGAATCTGCTGCTGTATTTTGGTATGTTTAATTCATTTGCGAGGATGATATAATACATGTTGATTTAGTTAATGAATAATCTCTTGCAGAATCTGCTGCTGTATTTTGGTATGTTTAATTAATTTGCAAGAGTGAGATAATACATGTTGATTTAGTTAATGAATGATCTCTTGCAGAATCTGCTGCTGTATTTTGGTATGTTTAATTCAGTTGCGAGGATGAGATAATACATGTTGATTTAGTTAATGAATAATCTCTTGCAGAATCTGCTGCTGTATTTTAGTATGTTTAATTAATTTGCAAGAGTGAGATAATACATGTTAATTGAGTTAATAAATGATCTCCTGCAGAATCTGCAGCCAAATCACCGAGCCAATGATGTTATAGTTCTGGAAGACATGCCACAGTTGCTGACTGCCAAATTCATGTACGGTTCACTAGATATTACCTGTCTTTCAGGAGAGAAGGTTGGTATCTTTTTCCTCATTGAAACACAGATTTGCTAAAAGTGAACAACCTTTTTTTTTTTTTTACCAATGATACATCAAGATATGGTGCTAGATCTGTTTGCTTATAGAGCAGTTGGCACTTGATGGTGATGTACCACTTTGCTTTACTTCCCTTAGCATGTTCTGGACCAATCTTCAGAATAGTTCAACCTAGGAGCTCAGAGCCCTGGGTAATTAAAAAAAAATTTGTCTCAGTGGGGATTTGAACCCAAGGCCTTCAGGTCAGCAGGGAAGTGTCTAGCCACTGCAGTAATAGAGATTTTAATAGTTTTTGAACTTGAATGTGACAAATACAGTCTTAGATGGTGAAACAGACAAAATACTGACGTTCTACAAGATTTGAACACTGAAGAATACTTAATTATAAACAGCATCATAATTAGAAAATAAAACATATTGGGCATATTAAATATCTCAGCCACTTATACAGAACAGTCATAAAAAGGTATAGTTGTCAGCTGCCATACTCCACCAGCTGCCAAACAGTCATTATGTTAACTCGTAATTATACGCTTAGCTCCTTCCCATCCATAATTTTGCAGTTTTTGTTTGTTTGTTAAATCGCTCAGACTTGAAAAATACCAACTGTTTTAGACAGATTTGGATAAATTATTCTCTATTATCAAACAATATTTTGTATACAAAAAAGTCATAGATTTTATAGAATTTCAGGGAATAGCTGTGTCCTAATAGACATAGACGGTTATAAATTGGTTTAAATCATAACATATATATGTGCATTTATATATTTGGGGATATATGTGTTCCGTGGTGAAGAAAGGGTTAAAGATACCCTGAGCTTGAGATTATATGAGACAGGGAAAGTGGAAAATATTGTCTTTCCACTGCAGGTGTGATTAAGGTACCATTCTGCAAAAGATTTCTGCATGATGATGTGCTTGAAAACTTTTGCCCAAAGAAACCATTAATCGGGCATTTCCATTGGTGTCTTTAACCTGTAAATGTCACATGACGGAATATGGCTGCAATGACTTGTCCTTGAGAAGCATAGTTTTATGTCACTGGTTATATTTGTGCCTGGGCAGCATTTAGGAGCTTATCTCTTCCAAGGAACGTATTATACTTTCATATGTTCCTACCTAGAAGCCCAATAAACGTATGATTCACCGATGTTATTACTTTCTTTACTACCCCCTGGGCCTGTGATGCTACACCCCCTGGGACTCAAAGAGTTTAGATATTAAAACATTTACTAAAAATGTTATTTATTAAAGATTTTCTTGTAAATAAAATAGCTTTTTTTAAGTGATGTGTCAAGTAAGTTTAAAAAAAAAAAAATTCTTAAATATTTTTTTCTGGATTCTGAGGGTTCCTGCATGTGTTTAGTTGTTTGTTTTGAAAATAGTTTTAGCAGCAACAGAGTTCAGGCATTTTCACAGGCTTTGCTTACTTTGAGTCTGTATGAGCAACGTGCAGTGGTTTGATAGTCTTTTGGTTGAGTATTATGCAGCTTAAAATGGTAAAAGAAAATTGTAGTATTATAAGCATTTACTGCTGTTGGTCTGTGAAGTGTTGGGCCTTTACATATTCTAGGTCTCAGCACATAAGATAAGGGGACAAATTCTCTTCTTCCATCACATTTCTATTCCAACATACATCCCCCCCCCCCCCCCACCCAAATTTATGGTGAACATTTTTATGGAGAGCCATCCTAATGTAATGGCTAGAAGCTTAGATAAGTTTTGTAACTGTTGTGTCATCTTGGTTCCCTACAAGTGTTGTAACTGTTGTGTCATCTTGGTTCCCTACAAGTGTTGTAGTCACTGTGTCATCTTGGTTCCCTACAAGTTTTGTAACCGTTGTGTCATCTTGGCTCCCTACAAGTGTTGTAACTGCTGTGTCATCTTGGCTTCCTACAAGTGTTGTAACCATTGTGTCATCTTGGTTCCTTACAAGTGTTGTAATCGCTGTGTCATCTTGGCTCTCTAAAAGTGTTGTAACCGTTGCGTCATCTTGGCTCTCTAAAAGAGTTGTAACCGTTGTGTTATCTTGGCTCCCTACAAGTGTTGTAACTGCTGTGTCATCTTGGCTCCCTACAAGTTTTGTAACCATTGTGTTATCTTGGCTGCCTACAAGTTTTGTAACCGTTGTGTCATCTTGGCTCCCTACAAGTTTTGTAACCGTTGTGTCATCTTGGTTCCCTACAAGTATTGTAACCGCTGTGTCATCTTGGCTCTCTAAAAGTGTTGTAGCCACTGTGTTATTTTGGTTCTCTACAAGTGGTGTACAGTTGTTGTTTTTTTAGGCAGGTTTTTCATATGTTTGGTCAGTTCAGTTAGAATATCATCATCATCATTGACATCCTTTTTGCCAGCATACATCATACAGGGCCCACAGTCTAGTCATCCATTCATCCTATACATTTCATTAGATATAGGTCATGGATAGAATCCTATCCTTTCCATTTTTTGGGGCAAAACAAGCAAAGACTCACTGCCATAAAGCATGTCATAAAAGGCATCTAATTGGTGACTTTTCTTCAAAGAGTGCACCTAAGAGGTGAGAAACCAACACTCTCCATACAGATAAGCCAGATCTGTAAAATGAATGTGCATGTAAAACTCAAGTTATTGAAAAAGACCATTCCAGTGTGGGTTCCTCGTTGTAGGAAAGACAAGAATAGAGTCACTGCCTACCCAAAGGCATGTCATAAGAGCAAAAAAAAATTTGGAGCTTTCTTCGAAGTCACAGTGTATCTGCCTGAGAGGCAAAGAACCATCAGTCTCTATACTAATGTGTCAGATCTGTAAAACAGATGTGCATTCAACACTTTAGGTTCTGCAAAGGTGGACAAACAATCAAAACTTCCCACCTGAGTTTACAGCGGGTGAATGCTAAGAAGAAGAAGAAGAAGAAGAACTTAATCCAGCCCTATTGGCCTCTAATTAAGCTGGTTTCTGTAGAACAATTGATTTTCACAAGGTGGGCTAGCTGGCCTTATTCTTAACCCTTTGTTCTGATCTGGCTTTGGGACTGGATGTGGCACGGATTTAGGTGAGTATAGATTGTAGTATGTGGCCCTGTATATATGCAAACACTTTCTGGATCACCTGTATCTGACCCAGGTTGATGTGAATGTCATGAAGCAACCTCCCGCTGGTGACTGGACTCTCCTGGGAACTGAGACCACAGACAGTCATGGCAGATTTACATTTGAGATACCCCAAGAGCAGAGGTTGAGCCAGGGACTGTACCCAGTGAAGCTTGTTGTCAGGTGAGAATGTCCTTATTGCTTTCTTCTTTTTTTTTTTTTAAAACTCTTTGAGGACATTTTTTTCTGGGGTTTGGACAGCATTAATTTTCAGCCGATTTCTTTTTACTGCAACATGATGAAGCTCTAAACTTTCTGGAGAAAAAGAATTGGTTATTTAGGGTCATATAATAAGTATCAGTATTACAATAAAATATTATTAAAATCACACAACGTTCAAGGATGTTAGACAAATGAAGATTATTTACACAAAAATCTGTGTGCTTACCTCACTTTTTGCTTGAAAAACAACATTGCTATCCATTTATAAGAATTCACATACCTCGTCTGTTCAATTATGTATCAGCTAGTCTTTATCTGAAACAATTAATTAAAATACTTAGAATATTATGACCATTTTTGTATGACATGTCAAATTTCACAAAAAAGTCACTATACGTTTGTTGGTTCAGAAAGAGATAAGTGTGAGTTAGTTATTTGACACATTATCTTTAGTATATCCCTCGGCATGTAGTGACTGATAACACCAGGACTTCTAGGCAAGATGGCAGTTGTGTTCGGATCCCATCTTCAGTATATCCCTCGGCATGTGGTGACTGATAACACCAGGACTTCTAGGCAAGATGGCAGTTGTGTTCGGATCCCATCTTCAGTAAATCCCTTGGCATGTGGCGACAGATAACACCAGGACTTCTAGGCAAGATGGCAGTTGTGTTCGGATCCCATCTTCAGTTTATCCCTTGGCATGTGGCGACTGATAGCACCAGGACTTCTAGGCAAGATGGCAGTGGTCACTGTTGTGTTTTCCAACTGCCAATAATTATACATAAAATGTATAGAAATCCATTGCAGTTAACTTTGATTAGGATATGGCACCTGACTGATTAATTGATAATCACCTTGATGTTGCTTCTGTTCCAGAGGGGACCACACATCAGTGGATTTCTATTTGGCTGTGCTGCCACCAAAAACAGAAACTGTGGCCTTTAGCATCGACGGCTCCTTCACTGCCAGTGTTAGTATCATGGGCAAGGATCCCAAGGTCCGAGCAGGAGCAGTTGATGTGGTCAGGTTTGTGAAGAATCTTCCTCCTTCTCCTCCTCCTCCTCCTCCTGCTTCTGCTTCTTCTTCTTCTTCTTCTTCTTCTTCTTCTTCTTCTTCTTCTTCTTCTTCTTCTTCTTCTTCTTCTTCTTCTTCTTCTTCTTCTTCTTCTTCTTCTTCTTCTTCTTCTTCTTCTTCTTCTCCTTCTTCTTCTTCTTCTTCTTCTTCTTCTTCTTCTTCTTCTTCTTCTTCTTCTTCTTCTTCTTCTTCTTCTTCAAATGCAACCCCTGTTGTTGCTGTTTCTTCATTATTTATATCTTGTTGTGACTCTTGCTGCTAACACCCTGTTTGGGTTGTCGTATTCAACTAGAAACTCTTTCATGGATAAAGAAAACACAATTTTTTCTCCTTGTGGTCATCATTTGCGATTTTTTTCAGTGTATGTGTGTATGCATATGTATGAGTTTACTGTCTTCTTGGTAGATGTTATCTCAAGTGAGTACTTACATCATCTCATATCATCATCATTTGTGTATCATAATAAAGGTTGGTGTACATTTTTCCTGTTTTTCTTTTGTGTATATGTGTGTGGGCTTTCTTGTTAGAAGTTGACCTAAGTAGATGTGTGCAGTGTGTCACTTTCAAAAACAAAACAACATTAGGCTGTATAGTAAAATATTTCACCCTATTACTTTAGCACACAGGGACCAAACATGGAAAATAGAATAGACATTGTGTAGCAGTGATACATATTCATTCATTCATTATCATGGTATGCCATTATATGTCACATAGGGCTCGCAGTCTATTCCTCAGTTCTGTACTATTCTGTGCAGTCAATTCAGTATCATGGATAAGAATCCAGTCCAGTAGCTTTGGCCTCTCTCACCAGTGTTCGTCTTAGGGTTTTGTTTGGGCGTCCTCACCTCCTTAATCCCTTTATTTCCCATTGTAATGCCTGTTTAGAGATTATCTGCTGGTTTCTTCTCAGGATGTCTCCAGTGTTGTGCCATCTTCTGTGGCTGATATACATGAGTAATAGCTAATAACATAACCATAGGCTCTTTGGGATGGAATGTTCAGGAGCATGATGTTTGAGGTTTAAGGTTTGAATGACGGATCATCATTATGGCACATGGGTAGTAACCCATAAGTGCTCCGTTCTTTCTTCTAACTCAAGTCTGAGTCCGAAGAAGCTCAACACAGTGCACAGACTCTGTAGCACCGGCGAAGATCCTGAAATACTTTGGGTAGATTTTAAACTCCAAATTTTTGCCCAGGCATCACCGTTAGGCTACTCTTTTCAATTTTTAACTGCCAAGGGATTTTTTTTACGTGCGCAACAATGCACATGGGTCTGCGATCTCACTGCTCAGAGACCAGGAAAATTACTAGAAGTCCAAGTCCACATGAAAAAATCCCAGCCCTTACCAGGGATTGAACCTGGAACCTCTGGCACTCGAGGCAGACACCATGCCTCGAGACCATGCAGCCCCTTATGATGTACATGATGTTTTACGTGACTAATTAAGGGTTGGTTGAAAATGATGTGTGTTGTGCTAAAAGGTACAGGCATTGCAGTCTTGTTGTAGATCATAACACATCACGCCAACCATCCTTTTAAAGGCAAATGCAAAAGTCACAGAAGTAATATCTAACATAATGAATGAATAAATCAATCAAGAATTGATATCACTGTGCTCAGGACATTCCCACACAAGCTCCATCCCCTTCTTTAGTAGCCAACGAAGAGTTGATATGCTAACAGTGCCAGTTGCTAATCTGAATACATTATTTCCTATGTTTCCCTCCTCAGTGTTGAATATCTTCTTCTTCTTCGCGTTCACCAGCTGTACACTCTGGCAGAAAGTTCTGCCTGCTCGTCCACTACTGAACTGCAGTCCGACTCCAGAACCTGAGTGTTGTGTGTGCATCAGTTTTACAGATCTCATTCTCTTGAATACAGACTGTTGGTTCCTTGCCTCTCCGGCAGATGCACTCTGACTTCAAAGGAAGCTCCCCAATTAGTCGACTCTTATGACATGCTTTTGGGGAGGTAGTGGGTCTATTCTTGTTTTCGCCACAAGGGGCCCCGGAACCCACACGGGGGAGTGTTGAATATTTTCCAGAACATCTCCTCATCCCCAGTTGAATTAGTCTTTCAGTGTATGGATTCTGTGTCTGTTGTGTTGCACTGTCCATTTGATCCCTGCGAGCGTTCACCAGGCCTGTTTTATCTGACCCATCACTATCATATCTTTGTGTGTACAGGCAGTGGCAGGACCTGGGCTACCTGATCCTCTACGTATCAGCCAGACCAGATCTGCAGCACAGGAAGGTTGTTGCCTGGCTTGCCCAGCACAACTTCCCCCATGGCATGGTGGCGTTCATGGATGGCCTGTCAAAAGATCCGCTCAAGCAGAAATATAACTACATCAGATCGCTACAGACAGAGGTTTGTACCCTGTCTGGTAAACAGTCTCACTAGTTAGTTACACCTGTGTTTGTTACAGAACTGGTCTATAATGCAGAACAAACGTCATACAAGATGGATGAACTTTATCCAATAAAAAGAGGATTTAGAAAATGAGTATTTGCTGTAACTTGTAACAAGTATTAAAACCATATCTTCCCTGTGTGGGTTCCAGCACCCTATTCTGGGTAAAACAAGAATAGACCCATTACCTCCCCATCAAGCATTTCACAACAGCTAACTAACTTAGGGCTTCCTTCAAAGTCAGAGAACATCTTCCTGCGAGGCAAGGAACCAACAATCTGCACACACATACATCAGATCTGTAAAATGGATGTGCATGCAGAACTCAGGTTCTGGAGCAAGACCAGAGCCCAGAGGTGGGCAAACACCCAGACCTGAGATTGTGATTGGTAGAACGAAGATTATTTCTATGTGGGCTCACTGGCCCCATTCGGGGAGGGGGGGGTTGAGGTGACAAACCAGCAGTCTACAAACAGATAAGCAAGATCTATAAAAGGGATATGCATGCAAAACTCAAGTTCTGTAACAAGACCAGAATTCAGAAGTGAATGAACAGCCATAATTTTTCACTGGAGTCTACAGCCAGTGAGTGCGAAGAAGAAAAAGTAGAACAAAGATCAGACAACACCAGTGAAATTTATGAAAATCACACTGAACTGGATAAATGTATTTTCTTTTTGTCCTACTGTCATTTATTAAAAGTACTAGACATGTTGTTTCTAAACCGTTATGACAGTTCCATGACATGTGTGTATCTGTTTTCATGACATGTGTGTATTTGTTCCATGACATGTGTGTATTTGTTCCATGACATGTGTGTATTTGTTCCATGACATGTGTGTATTTGTTCCATGACATGTGTGTATTCGTTCCATGACATGTGTATTTGTTCCATGACATGTGTGTATTTTGACATGTGTGTATTTGTTCCATGACATGTGTGTATTTGTTCCATGACATGTGTGTTTTTGTTTCATGACATGTGTGTATTTGTTTCATGACATGTGTGTATTTGTTCCATGACATGTGTGTATTTGTTCCATGACATGTGTGTATTTGTTCCATGACATGTGTGTATTTGTTCCATGACATGTGTGTATTTGTTCCATGACATGTGTGTATTTGTTCCATGACATGTGTGTATTTGTTCCATGACCAGGCTGGCATAGAGCTGAAAGCTGCTTACGGTTCCAGTAAAGACATCACCATCTACAAGGAGCTCGGTCTACAACCCCATCAGATCTTCATTGTTGGCAAGGCGTCTAAAAAACAGCATGGTCAAGCGCAGGTGAGCAGTTTTTCTTCCTCTTCTGCCATCTGTCCCCCAGTGGAGCTTAGGGACTTTCTCATAAGCTCTGCTTTAGGGATTTACTCTTACAAATTATTTCCTTTCATTTATCACGGGCATGAGTTGATGGATGTTTGTAGTTTATTAATACATTTGTTAATCTCCATATCTCTACTTCACAGATCTAATGTTGAAGTAATAATGTTTAAAGTTTATTGCTAGTTTTAACTTTCTTTGACTTCTACAGATTTATAGTACCATTTCATGTATAGGTTCCGGGGCCCCATTGTGGGGGGAAAACAAGAATAGACACAGTGCCCCCCCCCCACCTCTACCATTTCATGTATAGGTTCCAGGGCCCCATTGTGGGGGAAAACAAGAATAGACACAGTGCCCCCCCCCCCCCACCTCTACCATTTCATGTATAGGTTCCAGGGCCCATTGTGGGGGGAAAACAAGAATAGACACAGTGCCCCCCCCCACCTCTACCATTTCATGTATAGGTTCCAGGGCCCCATTGTGGGGGGAAAACAAGAATAGACACAGTGCCCCCCACCTCTACCATTTCATGTATAGGTTCCGGGGCCCCATTGTGGGGGGAAAACAAGAATAGACACAGTGCCCCCCACCTCTACCATTTCATGTATAGGTTCCGGGGCCCCATTGTGGGGGGAAAACAAGAATAGACACAGTGCCCCCCCCACCTCTACCATTTCATGTATAGGTTCCGGGGCCCCATTGTGGGGGGAAAACAAGAATAGACACAGTGCCCCCCCCCACCTCTACCATTTCATGTATAGGTTCCGGGGCCCCATTGTGGGGGGAAAACAAGAATAGACACAGTGCCCCCCACCTCCCCATACACACACATTCACAAAGCCTGTCGTATGAGTGGACTAATTGGGGGCTTCTTTTAAAGTCAGAGTGCATCTACCTGAGAGGCATGGAAACAAAAGTCTGCATACAAATAAGCCAGATTTGTAAAACAGATGTGCACATTGCGCTTCAGTTTCAGAACAAGACTAAAATCTAGAGGTGGACATAGAACCAGAACTTTTCGCTGGAGTTTATGGCTGGTGACTGCGATGAAAACAGTTAGTGCAGTAAATGCGCCTCCTTTTCTATGGACATTTTAATATCTCGGTCTGCTCCCCAATCTTTCATGATCCTGTTGTGCCATTACATGTCCCATAAGGCCTGTGTTTTTTCGTGCATTTTGTTCTACCCTGTGCAATTAGTTCAATA